GAAGGAAATCAAGGCACAAAAAACCATTCAGAAGATTAATGAATCCAGGAGTTGGTTTTTGAAAAATTAATAAGATAGATAGACTGCTGGCTAGACTAATAAAGAGAGAAGATCAAAATAAACACAATTAGAAATGAAGGGATATTACCACTGACCCCACAGAAATGAAAATAACCATCAGAAACTATTGTGAAAAACACCTCTATGCACACAAACTAGAAAGCCTAGAAGAGATGAATAAATTCCTGAACACATACATCCTCCCAAGACTTAACCAGGAAGAAATTGATTCCCTGAATAGTTCCTTGTTGGAACTCCAAAATTGAATCAGTAATAAATAGCCTATCAACCAAAAAAAGCCCAAGATGTGATGGATAAACAGCTAAGTTCTACCTGATGTACAAAAAGAGCTGCTACTATTCTTACTGAAACTATTCCAAAAAATTGAGGAGAAAGGACTCCTCCCCAACCAATTCTGTGAGGCCAGCATCATCCTGATACCAAAGCCTGGGAGAGACACAACAAAAAAGAAACCTTCAGGCCAATATTCCTGATGAACATCGCTGCAAAAATCCTTAACAAAATACTTGATACTTGTAAACCAAATTTAGCAGCACATCAAAAAGCGAATCCACCATTATGAAGTAGGCTTTATCCCTGGAATGCAAAGTTGGTTCAACACACTGAAATCAATAAATGTGATTCATTACATAAACAAAGCTAAAGACAGAAACTAAGTGCTTATCTCAATAGATGCAGAAAAGGCTTTAGATAAAATTCAACAGCCTTTCATGTTAAAAACTCAAGAAATTAGGTATTGAAGGAACATACCTCAAAATAATACAAGCCATCTATGACAGACCTACAGCCAACATTATACTGAATGGGGAAAAGCTGAATGCATTCCCCTTGAAAACAGCACAAGACAAGTATGCCCTCTCTCACCAGTCCTATTCAACATAGTATTGGAAGTCCTAGCTAGAGCCGTCAGGCAAGACAAAGAAATAAAGGACATCCAAATAGGAAGAGACAAAGTCAAACTGTCACTATTTGCAGATGACATGACTCTATATATAGAAAACTCTATAGTCTTGGCCAAAAGCTCCTTCAGGTAATAAACAACTTCAGCAAAGTTTTAGGATACAAAAATCAATGTGCAAAACTCACTAGCATTCCTATATATCAACAATAGCCGAGCTGAGAGGCAAACCAGGAGGGCAATTCCATTGCCACAAAAAGAATAAAACACCTAGCAATACAGCTAACCAGGGAGGTGAAAGATCTTTTTTTTTTTTTTTTTTTTTT